CCCCCAGCGCAACGGGCAGTGCCAGGGCTTCCTTCCCTCTTTGCGGCAGAGGCCCCGGCACTGCGGACGGGCTGGATTTTACCCGTGGCCTATATTTAACTGCGAGGCCGTTTCTGGGCCTAGGGAGGCTTTTTTTCTGATTCCTTTTATTTCTCCCATTCTGCCTGCGTGAGAGCGCCGGGGATCCCCGTCCTGCTGTTCCGATTGCCTGGCCGGGTTGGGGAGCGTGAGGAAAAGCTGCCGGGGGGGATTTGCCGCCGCGGGACGTGTGAGCCCGACGTCGGCACTTGCTTTGCACCTCTGCACGCAGCCAGGAAGCCCTGGGCTGCGTTTGGGCGCGTGTTTTCTCCCGCATTCTTGCAGCCAGGTCAGGCATGCGCTCCATGAGCTTGCTGCATGCAGCCAGGACCTGGAGAACCCCCGTCGCCAGCAGCTTGGGGTGTCCAGGCTGGGAATGTGCCGTGGTTTAACCTTGGTGCCTTTGAAGCTTGTCCGGGCCACGGTGCCGCCGGAGCCGCAGCAAGACGGATCCCAGCCCGGCTGCGCCAGCTCTGTGCCGTGGAGCGAAGGAAAGATCTGGCTCCCGGTCATGGAGTGAAGGGGCCTGGCTTTCCAGGAGGAGTTTGGTGCTGGAGAGGGAAGAGGGAGCAGGTTGAGCTTGCAGGAAGCGTGCGCTGCTGCATGCACCATGCACCACGCGAGCCCTTCTGCATGCACCGTGAGCCCTGCTGCATGCACCGCACACCCTGCTGCATGCGCCGTGCACCATGCGAGCCCTGCTGCATGCACCTCACACCCCGCTGGATGCACCATGCACCACGTGAGCCCTGCTGCATGCACCGCACACCCCGCTGGATGCACCATGCACCACGCGAGCCCTGCTGCATGCACCGCACACCCTGCTGCATGCGCCACACTGCAGGCACCCTGCTGCATGCGCCACGCTGCAGGCGCCCACCCCGTGTCTGGCCTGGCTTGTGTTTGAGGCCCCTTCCCTGGCTGTGTCCCTCAGCGCCCGTGCTCGGGAAGGGGCCTTTGGGATCCTGCT